AGAGAGAGAGGGGTCCACAAACATGCGGCGGCTTGTATGTATTTAAAACAAATGTATGTGTTTAATCCACACTCGCTGCTGCAGTCGGGCGGGGCTGCGTTATAAATCAAACACATCCAACAGGCTCTCCCAGGTATGAAAAACAAAGACCCCCGCTGGCCTACAGCAGCGCGGTGGACTTTAAAAATCGTCCGTCTGGCAGATCAGTGGGACGCAGAACCGGCGTCTCTCTGATCTTTCTTCTGTTTTCACACAAAGCAGAAATAGCTTTATGATCAGCTGTTCAATAATAACAGTGAGGTTATAAATCAAACACCCCAAATCACCTCACGAGGTGCAATAATGTGTCTGCGTATGAACACGTCTATATAAAAACAGTCATGCTGATAAAGCGTCACAGAGTCAGTCCGCAATGTTCCCCGTGGTGTGGCTCAACTCAGCCGCCATCTTCTGGGTACAGAAACTATGACCAACATGACTGTACAGGGGATTAGGTCATCATCCAACAGGTGATTTAAACATATTAGTGAAGAGCAGGAGGAAAATATGTCAATGGAGAAAGTACCGGCCCATTCTTCAGTGTTTAAAAAAAGGAAATAGCATTTTAGGCAAATTCAAAAACATTTGAGAAGAGGCCTAGAGACCAAATCAAGCCTAGAGGATAAATACCATAAACCAGAATGCAATGCAGCTGGAGCTGGAGTTTGAATAAGGAGGTCTCGATGCTCATTGTGTGTACTGATAAAGGAAGCTGAAGTCCAGAAGCCTGGGGCCTTTTTTTAAAGTTTGAAGACTTCGACTGAAGAGAAATAGTCCGTCTAAATTTAGAAGGACTCTTTTTCTTTGTACACTCAAACATTTCCCGTCAGGAAATAATAAAGCTGGTTTCATTTCGTTGGCTTCATCCTGGTACGGACAAGTTCGACCAGTTTGTCTGAGCGGTGAAGAGAAAACACCGTCTCCGGAGGAACTCCGGGCAGGAAGGTTGGGTGTTTTCCGATCAGAGTCCTTCGAGTTCAGGCTAAGATCTCTTTCTCTTTTGATAGTTAGGCCCCGCCCACTCATTGTTGGCATAAAAACAGCTAGGACTTGCTGGGACTTGATTAATACACTTTGAGGAAGAGCGCAACATCAAGAATTATATCTGGTGAGTAGATTAAAACAGATAATAAATGCAACAAATACTAATATAAAAGAGAAGTATAACAACGTATATAGAATATATGTGTATATGGAGCCTGCAATGTTAACGTGAAACAAATACAGTCTATTATTACAGGTTATTATAATCATTATGAATATTAATATTATTATTTTACTACCATGAGAAAAAGTATGGATATATTTGCAACTAGGTAAACGAAGCCAGGCTGAACCGATGTTGTGTTTTGTTTCTCTTCCGCTCCATTCAGGTTTTCTTGGCTCAGCCATCAATGCTGCTAATTCCACTGAGGTAAAACATTATTCATTTTTTATTTTCTACCAATTAAATTCGGTCTATATTTCCTTACAAAGTTTGACACAAAGCCTACGTAACGGCAGAGGTCTTTGCTTAAATGCCAGTCAGTTGTTTGTAGTGTGTGTGTGTGTGTGTGTGTGTGTATGTTTGTGTGTGTGTGTGTGTGTGTGTGTGTGTGTATGTGTGTGTGTGTGTGTGTGTGCGTGTGTATCTTGAACTGGATTCTTGGCTGTCAGTGGAGGTTTTGAAGGACTAGCGTGATGTGGTCTCTGGTGGTCTCTCTGAGTTCTGGATGTATCGTAGTTTGTTGATGATTTTGGTGGGTGAGCCGTACAGGATGATGTTGCAGTAGTCCATTCGAGAGGTGACGAAGATGAAGGCGTGGATGAGTGTTTCAGCGGCTGTGGAGGAGAGGGAGGGGTGTAGACGGGTATATTTTTAAGGTGTTTTTTGTGACGTGATTGACGTGTCGTTCAAAGGAGAGGGTTTGATCAAAAATGATCCCAAGGTTACGGACATGTGTGGAAGCAGGAACAGCGCTGCCATCGATCAGAGGGAGAAGTTGTGAGTTGTTTAGGGATTTGGGGCCGATGATGAGGATTTCAGATTTGTCCCTGTTGAGTTTGAGAAAGTTGTCTTGCATCCAGTCTGTGAGGCAGTCGGTGATGGTGGAGTGGGTGGTGGGGGTGATGGATTTGGTGGAGATGTAGAGCTGTGTGTCGTCAGCATAGCAGTGGAAATGAAGACCATGGTATGATGCTGCCAAGGGAGCAAGTAGAGGATGAAGAGGAGGGGACCGTGTCCTGAACCTTGGGGGACGCCTTGAGAGACTGGGGCTGTGTCGGACTTGAATTTGTTGATGCTATTTGTTGATGCTAATGAACTGTTCACGCTCGGAGAGGTATGATCTGAACCAGGAGAGGGCTGTGCCAGTGATATGGAGGGAGGACTCGAGACGGGAAAGGAGGATGGAGTGGTTGATGGTGTCAAAGGCTGCACTGAGGTCGAGTAGTGTCAGGATGTTGAGGGAGTGGTCATCAGAGGACAGGAGGAGGTTGCTGGTGACTTTGATCAGGGCGGTTTCTGTGCTGTGATCTGACTCACCGAGTCATCAATATTGAGATACCTGCAGAGTGTGGCTATGACTCAGCAACGCTCAACAACATGGTTGACTGGTTATCTAACACAGGAGCTTTATCAAGCCACATATTTTGGATATTTGTAAAACTTGAATGATTCATAAGCAACAGGGTTGCTCATCTCATTGGTACTGAACATTGTTTACAGGTTTGTGAAATATCCAGATTAACCAGGGAATTGTTTCTGTAAAGCACAGCGCATTGAGTTACGGTATTCATTTACTTAAAAATAATTTTGTTTTCTTAAACCGACAGGCATCAACTTCAGCTACTAAAGTGGAACTTTCCGAGCTCAAAATGGCGAAATCAGCAGCTGGTAAGTCTAGTGAGTGAAAATAAGGAACATTGAAATACATTGTTTGTTTTTTGGTCACCTATACTTTGTTTGGTGATGAACGTTAAACATTGTTTTCTTTGTGATCAATGAAAAAAGTAACGAGAAATCTGACATCAATGTGAATCTAATCTAATCGAGTAAGTTTAAATATTCAAAAACTGAACTAAACATGATTAGGTTTTGAAGAATCCTCCAGCATTGTTCCATGCGTCATGCACATTGGTTCATACACAGCAACGTCTACAGCAATAATGGAAAATGGCCAACAGCATTTATTGGCTAAGCAGTGTTTCCCAAAGCTGTAAATTGAATTAAGGCACATGAGAAAGTGATGCTAACCTCGGACAGGAGTCTTGGAGTTTCACACAGATTGGCTAAGATTTTCATCTTAGATATGAGCTCATTGTGCTCAAGTCAAAGTGGAGGCTAGTATTCGTGTTTCCCACAGCAACAGCAGCAATCAAGGAGAAAAGAGAAGTAGTAACATTTATGATTATCAGTCCTGTATCAGTAGCAAGCTCTGCAGTAGAATCAACACTCTAAGAATGATCATTATAGAAACCACATTTGTTTTTATTCTCTTACCGACTGTTTATTACCCAGACAGATAGCTGCAAGATGATACTGCTTTCATGCATTATAAATATTATGAATATCGACACTGACTTAAATGGATCTTTTGATTTTAAACAACCCAGTCGCCCAAAAAACGTTGGCAATGTACGTTTCTAAATATCGACATATCTGAAACAAAAATATGTTTGATAAGTTTCATAACAGCCTCGTATCAGGATTGCAGAAACGCTTTCGCTCTCTCAGATTAATAATACGTGATAAGAACAAACCTGTTTTCATTATTGTCGTCAATGAAAAACAGGATTATGACAATTTCTCATCAAATTTTTGTTCTCATTGTTTTACAGCACCTGAACTCAGGATTGCACTTATTGGAAAAAAACAGAATGAAAAGACAAAACTAACCAACTTCATCACTGGAAAAACAGATCGTTCCCATCCAACAAAGTCCACGCAAGTTGCACATTTCAACAGCGAGTGGAGGAAAAAACCCCTGACAGTAGTGAAGATGGCAGACGTCTTCAGTCTGCCGGTGAATCAAATGAGACACAAGATGAAGATGTGTGTCGCTGAATGCCCTCCTGGACCAAATGCTCTGCTGCTGTTAGTGAAGCCCTCTGACTTCACTGAGCAGGACCGACTAAAACTCAAGTTCATCATGAACTTCTTTGGACAAGATGCTTTTAAATACGCAATGGTCATCATAACAGAACATGATAAGATATGGAATTCCTCACTTAATCAACTCCTCGAAGACTGCGAACAAAGGCAGCATAGAATGATCTTTGAGGGAAATGGTTTTCCTCATTGTGATCGTCAAGAATTGATGGAGGACATTGAGGACATAGTGGATGAAAACAGGGGACGATATTTAACCTTTGATCAAGAAAGTGATACCATTGTTACACCTGTTTGTGAGAAACCCCCTCTAAACCTGGTGTTGTGTGGGAGACATGGAGCCTGGAAGACTTCAATGGCTGAAGCCATTCTGGGACAAAGAAAGTTCGGTCAATCTGTTGACTCATCAGAGTGTGTTAAACATCAGGGAGACGTGTGTGGACGTTGGGTTTCTGTGGTGGAGCTGCCTGCCTTGTATGGAAAACCTCAGGAGGCAGTGATGAAGGAATCACTCAGGTGTATCTCCCTCTTTGATCTTGAGGGCATCCATGTCTTCTTCCTGGTCCTACCTGTGGGTGCCCAAAGTGAGGAAGACAAGAAAGAGTTGGAGACCATCCAGAAGACTTTTGGCTCTAGAGTCAATGATTTCAGCATGGTTCTTTTTACTGTGGAGGCCAATCCCAACTCTCTAAAAGTAGAGAGGTCTCTACAGGAAAACAGAGACATCCAAGAGCTCCTCCAGAGCTGTGGTGGACAATATCTTGTCTGCGACATCAAGGACAAGCGGCAGGTCTCTGAAGTTTTACGTAGAGTAGAAAACAAGGGAGTTGTGGGATGCAGAGGATTCACCAAAGAAATGTTTCCCGAGCTTCCAAAGAATCGGGTTAGAAGACATGTAACAAATGCAGATAGTTATCAGAGTGGAGAGTTTCAAAGGATGGCGCCGAATACAATGTCTCTCAGAAAATCAGAAGGACACTCTGTCAGGACGGGGCCGAGAATAATGTTTCCTAGGAAGAAGCGTCTCTCAGTGTCTCTCAGGATTGAGCCGATTAGAGAGACTTCCAGAATGGAGCAGAGTAGAGAGACTTCGAGGATCGAGTCGAGTAGAGAGTGTCTCAGGATGGTACTGATTGGGAAGACTGGTTGTGGAAAGAGTGCTACTGGAAACACCATTTTGGACACAGATTGCTTTCATTCTCAAGTTTCTCAAATATCGGTGACCAAGCTTTGCCAGAAAGTAACCGGGGAGATTGATGGGCGTCCTGTCGCTGTGGTCGACACCCCCGGCTTGTTTGACACCACTCTGAGTAACGACAACATTAAACAGGAGCTTGTGAAATGCGTCACCCTGTTGTCTCCTGGACCTCATGTGTTCTTACTGGTGCTGCAGATCGGTCGCTTCACACAAGAGGAGAAAGACACTGTGGAACTGATCAAGGAGTTTTTTGGCAAGGAGTCAGAAGACTTCATCATTGTTTTATTCACCAGAGGAGATGATCTTGACAACACAACAATTGAGAGTTTCATAGGAAATGATCCTGAGGACCCCTTAAAGAAACTGACAACTGAATGCGGAGGAAGATACCACGTCTTCAACAACAACGATAAAGAGAATCGTTCCCAAGTCAGCCAGCTTCTGACCAAGGTTGAGTCAATGATAAGGAGAAACGGAGGTCGCCACTTCAGCTCAGATATGTTCCAAGGAGCTGAGGAAGTCAGACTAAAGGAGATAGAGAAGCAGCTGAGGGTCCTCGAAAGAAAACATCAAGAAGAAGTGACGAGGATAACTTTAAGGCTTGAAGAAGAAAGAGAAGAGAGATCCAAAGAACAGGAGGAACACCAAAAAAAGATGGAGGATATGGAGAGGGAGAGAGAAAGAGGAAAGAGAGAAGAGGAAAGGAACAGGAAGCAGCAGGAGGAAGTCCAACTACACCAGTGGGAAGAGAAACTTAAAACTCTGGAGGAAAAACTACAATACGTATCAGAAATAAATGCTCGTGCTGACTGGGCGTCAATACTACAGGCTAGAGAAGAAATGAGAAAAGGACGAGAGAGTTGGGAGCAGGAAAGAAAGGAATGGTGGACGAAACGATATCAAGAAGAACAACAGAGACAGGAGGAGAAAAGAAAAGAAGAAGATGAAATCAGAAGAGAAGATGAGGAAAGAGAATGTAAAGAGTCACAAGAACTCTATGACATGAACATGGAGCAAATCAGGATGGAAAATGAAGTGGCCAGAATGCAAGCTGAAGAATTCAATGAATACAGTGAAAGTTACATAATGGATGTTTTAGCTGAGATGGAAAAGCGTGAAAAGGAAATGGAGGATCTGAAGGAGAGGCAACAAAACCAAAATGAGTTGATAATAAAACAGCTTGGCAGAAACAAAGTCTACCAGAAAGACATCAAGATATTGAAGAAAAAACAGAAAGAAGAAATGAAGGAGCTGAAGACGCAACTCTTTCTCAACAACACAGATCATCTGATCAAAGAAATTAATGATCTAGAGAAGAAACATGAGGCTGAAATAAATGTCTGGATAGAAACACACATGAACAAAGCCACACGAGACAAGGCGTGTTCCATTTTATGAGAGTTTTCTCTAACAGCAGCACAGTTTCAGCTGCAAATCTGTGACTTTTTGGTTCGAGTGAGATTTAATTTGTTCTTGGTATTGAACTGATGTGTACTGATGGTCTACATCATGTTCTTCAGATACCTGTACTTCATTTAACCAATGTCTGACATGAAAAAACAATCACACAACAAATGTATAGTTGTAAGTACAAATGTCTGAGAACAGTTAACACATCTATGGTCAGTGCACAGAATGTCTGACTTTAGGTACTTTGACTGTAAAAGCTTATTACCTTTAACTTTATGCGTGTTTATGTAAAGTTCAGTGCATCAGTGATGACACTAGACAACTCTTATCAGATGCATGTTATAATGTGAACTAGAAGGACTTTGTTTTTAGTCAGATAAAACTTTTAAACTGATAGTTAACTATTTTACTTTTAAGGCACAGGCACAGTAAATGAAGGCATAAAAGACATAATTAAGTTGTTTTTTTTACAAGGAATGTCTATTTTTTCCTTATGTTTTCATTGCAGTCATAAAATGTAACCATGTAAACATCCATGCTCACACTGTAAATATGTTTTTTCTTATTCTTTTGTTCAGTTGTCTTTATAATTACTAGGGTCAATACTCAATTTGTCATCATATTTTAGGAAAGTTAAGATGCCGTTAATTAGCCATTAAGAATGTTTCTCCTCTGCACAATCTGCAAGTTTACTCTCTTGTTTCTAGTAAGCACACTCCACAATTTAAAGAATGTAGGAGGTATGTATGTATGAAAAACCACAAGCTTGTTCTTTCGTGTGAACTTCCTGCTGTGGACAAGTTTGACCAGTTTCCCTGTTTACAGCCAACGCTGTGCAGCACGAACGACTTTGCTTTGTTGGAGCACTTTTTGTCCCGTGATTGTACTTTTCTATATTATATTGTACTTTTTATTAAAGATAAATCTGTGACAACAGATTTCTATCTTTTTATGTGTGTTTGTGTTTCTATTGTTGTATTCATAGTGTGTGGACAGACGGAAAGAGAGGTTTCAACAATCAAAATAAGTATTATTATAATGAGTAAGTATTTAGGATAGAAGTAGTAGTAGCAGTAGTGATATTGTTAAAAATAAAAAGGCTTTTAGGTCTGAAACTATCCGTTAACTCAACTTTATTTGCAGTCATAAGTGCTTCACATAAAAATATTCAATAAATAAAAAACGTGTGACAAAAAAAATCAACAAAACTATAAAGCGTTCAAAATCAATAGAAAAAAAATGAACACGGGATGAAAATGATCTAAAAAAATAATGATTAAAGCTTAAATGACGTTATAACATTACTCTAATCTGCAGGTGGAACAACGCCGACTCGACTCATAAAATGAACCCACACATCAGTCTGTGTAGTTGGGTACTTAAAGCTGTCGGGTTACATCAGTTCCATTAATTGCCACGCCCTCTTCACGGACTTACTTACAGGAATGAAACAATGAAGATGATCTGATGAGATGATTCACTTGGATGTTAGTCACAGAGTTCCACAAGTTTCACTTTAGATTCTATCTTGATGGGAAAGTCTTTGTGCTCATCCACACCTATTCCAGTCTTTGGGGGGATTCCAAATCTGCAGACAATGATTTATGCAAATATTTCTGATCCAACTTCCTTCATCAGTCTGAAGCTCTAGTTCCTGTCTAACTGTGTATTGTCGCACAAACAACTCTAAAATCAAGTGAAATACAACTTTGTTCAGGAGGTGTGCATGTTTTTGCATGTTGTAGAGATACTTGATGTCACTTGGCCTGTTACTGTCACAAGTCAAACCCTGGCTGACATAAATCCTTTTAGTTATTGACATATTTTTATGCCTCCACACTAGCGTTATGTTTTTAGGTTCTCCTTCCATCCATACGTACGTACGTTATGTGCGGTCCGTTCTCGTGAGCATGAAATCTCAGGAATGCCTGGAGGGGATAATGTCTCTCTGGACTTAAGAATAAACTAATTAAACTTTGGTGGACCTCACGTCTGTCCCATTCTCGTGAATGTGACGTCTCAGAAACCTTTGAGGACATTTCTTAAATTTTTTTACGAAGGCCCACTCTGACTCAAAGATGAACTAATTAAGATCTTGGTGGGCAAAAGGTCGCTGTGACCCCACTTTACACACTTCTGGCCTAAAAGAATAAATAAAATAATTGATACGATGTTTATGACAATTTCAAACAAATGTCTAAAGGGATAAAATGAAGAAGTGATGACATTTTGGACATACGGATGTAAAGTGCTTTTGATTGGCTGGCGAAGGCGTTTGCGAGGCGGTACTTCTCGTTATTGTTTTGAAGGAACAGCTGTGGTGACTCGGCTGTGGCATTCTTGTCGTTCCTGTGTTGGGCCCTGCCCTGTTGGCTCTGCTGATAAAAAGGTCGTCTTGTCAATTTAATCTTATTGTGGAGCTTCAACTCTGATGAGAAGGTCACCTGGTGAGTAGACGCTCGGAAAATAAATGCAACTAATAAAGAAATGTCTATAGAAATATAGGGAAGTATAAATGTACTACAGAAAGTAATTCATTAATTAAAATCAGTGTATTTCTAATCCTCCGGTGGCTGTTCGGGTGATGAGGTGGACCAAACCCAAAGCTTGAGAGTGTGAGGAATAAACTACACTAAAGGAGCAACAGCAAGAACCTCAGGTAAGTGCAGCATGTTCAGTATGTCAACAGGAAACAGAGATAAATGACAACTAGCAGCCAACAAGAAAACTGTTTCTGGGTTAGACTTCAAACCGTTTGAGGCATTGACACTTTTACTAAAAGACTGCATGACTTAACTTAGATGAAAATGCAAGTTCATACATTTACTCTCACTGTATATTACAGTTATTGTGTTTACTTGGTTACTTAATCTCTGCATTTTGGTATTTTGCAGAAATAAATCCCCAATAGCTGCTCCATTCGTATTCCTCTCCCACAAGTTCGTGCAGAAGTGACACAATAATGGCGGCATTGGCATTCGGTAAGTATTGTGTATTTGAAAGCAGGTATAAGTCATCAAACCCAGCATGGAAACACAAAGAGGGATCGTATGAGATGGCCACAAGCCAACAAAAAGGTGGAATGTTCTTGGCACTGACTCTAACTTTTTAGTTTCAGTTGGCTTGCATCTTAAAGAATGTTGACACTGATGACACAAAGGGGTCAGTTGCTTGGTGCTTGATGGATGATAACATTGTGATCAGTTGTTATTTTGATGTTGATGATGTTCTGGCCCTCTAAAAGCAAAGGATTGATTAATGTAGCTTCATGGTCATGGTGTCTTCTTTTTTTAAATTGTAGACCAAAGACAAACACCATGTACCCAATAAGACAATCTTCAAACTAGAGTTGATATCTAATGTCTCCAGGTTGCTCTTACTGTGAAACTAGAAAATACTGTATAAACTAAAGAATTGAAGGTAGAGGGATTTGCTATTTTAACGCAAACAGTAAAATATCATCTGTAAAGAATTACATTTTGACATTTGTTACCAACTTCATGCCCAGAATATTTTCATGATATCAATATATTTTTATAGTTTATGCGCAAAACAAATGGTGCACTAAATCAGGGGTCTTCAACGTTTTTCAGGCCAAGGACCCCCAAACTGATAGAGAGATGGAGCAGGGACCCCCGACTATATATATTGTATAAAATTGTGTTTTATATTAAATGGGCCTAGTGCCGTGTATAAACATACCTCTTTATTGTGCATTCAATACTAAGATATTCAAATAATACACATGTTCATATATTCATGTTTTTATTTTAAACATGTGCAAGGCACAGTGAGTAGGGGGGCCGTGCCACTGCCTTTTATAAACATACCTTGTCAGCTGATACCAATGCCAATATCAACATTGTCTGTTAGTTGCATGATAATCATCATACAAGCTATTCAAACTGACGTTTATATTTTAAACATAAATGTGGAAACTAAAATAAGTGATGGCCTATTAGTGCCATTGCCATGCATAAACATACCTGTTATCTTTCATACAATACTGAACTATTAAAATAAAGGACAGATTACACATACCTGGAAAAAAAATAAAATGTAAATGGTCTAATCCAGAGGTCTTCAACCTCTAGGGGGTCCGTGGAGGTACTGCAGTGGGTCCGCGGAATTTTGGTTGATTAGAGAATTTAAAAAAAATAATAATAATAATATATATTTTTTTTTTTCTCTAAACATGAATCTGTCCATTATTTTAATAGTTCAGTATTGTATGAAAGATAACATTTCCTCATTAGTCAAAGAAGAGAAGTGAATAATTCTACAATTGCAAAACACAAAAGTAAGATTTACATTTAAAAACGTAATCCCACAAATTCTGACTGTCTTCATGTGTTAATGTTTGAACCACTGGAGAAGAAAATGCTAAAGAGAAATGATGTAAATGAGCTCATGTAGTTTGATAATAATAATAATATAATGTTATTATTATAATTATTATGAAATAGAAAAATGTAGTAATGCTTTGGCTTTTGTTGTTTTACAGTATCTGAACTCAGGGTTGTCGTGTTTGGAAAGAGACAAAACGAAAAAACAAGACTAAGTGACTTCATCACGAGGGGAAAAGATGTGAAAGCGTCAAAGCAATGTACAGCCGCCGACGGAGAATGGAGAGGCACAAAATTAAGAGTAGTGACGACCTCAGACGTCTTCGGTCTGCCGCAGGATAAAGTGAGACACGAGATGAGAAAGTGCGTCGCTCTTTGTCCTCCTGGACCAAATGTCCTCCTGCTGTTAGTGACGCCGTCTGACTTCAATGAAGAGGACAGACACACATTGAAGTTTATTCTGAGCTTCTTCGGTGAAGATGCCTTTCAACACGCGATGGTCATCAAAACACAAGAGGGAGAGTTATTGAATTCTTCTGTGGACAAACTCATCCGAGACTGCAAACAAAGGCAGCACAGCATTAACTTTGACAAAAAGGGTGTTTCGGATCATGATTATAAAGAACTGATCGGAAAGATGGAGAACGTCGTGAGTGACAACAAAGGAGGACATCTGAACTGTACTGAAGAGGCTGATCCCAGAACAGTATCTGTAACTTCCAAGCCTGTAGTGAAGAGGGCAGATTCTGAACATCAGAACAGAGAGTGTCTCAGGATGGTGCTGATTGGAAAGACTGGTTCTGGAAAGAGTGCCAGTGCAAACACTATTTTGGGCAAAGCATGCTTCAAATCTAGACCCAGCTCAAAGTCAGTTACAGAGGTTTGCCACAAAGAAACCGAGGAGAGTGACGGACGGCCTGTCGTCATAGTCGACACCCCCGGCTTGTACGACACGACTCTGTCCAACGATGAAGTCAAAGAGGAGCTTGTGAAATGCGTCACCATGTTGTCTCCTGGACCTCATGTCTTCTTACTGGTGCTGCAGATCGGCCGCCTCACACAGGAGGAGAAAGACTCCGTGGAGCTGATCAAGAAGTTTTTCGGCAAGAAGTCAGAAGACTTCATCATTGTTTTATTCACCAGAGGAGATAATCTTCAAGGCAAAACATTTGAGAATTACATGCAGGAAGACAGTGAAGGCTATGTTACAAAACTCCTAGAAGACTGTGGAGGAAGATACCAGATCTTCAACAACAAACATCCCAGCAGTGCTTCAGTCAGAGAGCTACTGAGGAAAGTTGATTCAATGGTGAAAAGAAATGGTGGTGGCTGCTACACCTCCGACATGTTCCAAGAAGCTGAAGCAGCCATACAGAAAGAAATGAAGAGGATCCTGAAAGGAAAGGAAGGAGAGATACAGAGAGAGAAGATGGACTTAGAAAATAAACATAAAGAAGAAATCCAGGCCAAGCAGAAAGAAATGGCAGAACAAATAACCAAAACTCAACGAGAGACAGAACTGAAAGCAGAACTGATCAAGATGAAGAGGGAAAACATTAAGAAGGAGCAGGAAAAGATGAAGAGAGAAGAAGAGGAGAGAAGAGCCAAGGAAAATAAGACGAAAAAGCAGGATGAAATCCAACAAATGCAGTGGAAGCAAAGTCTTGAAGCTACTGATAAAACGCAGATCAGAGTGGAGATGAGACAAGAGCAAGAGATTTGGGAGAAGGAGCGAGGGGAGAGGTGGAAGAAACGATATGAAGAAGACCAACAGAGACGATTTGAGGAGCAAACGCAGCTTCAAATGCTCAAAGCAGAATACAAACAAGAAAAAGAGGAGTATGGAAGAAAAAGAAAGGAAGATCAAATCAGAAGAGGAAAAGAAGACCAAGAGTTAAAGATATTACAAGAAACACTCATGAAAAATCTACTGGTACTCCAGAATACCCACGAAGAAGAGGCCAGAAAGCAAGCTGAAGACTTCAATGAATTCAGACATAGATACACCGACGACTTCGAAGCTCTGACGGAAAAGCACGGCAAGGACATGGAGGACCTGAAGGAGAGGCAACGAGAACACAACGACATGCTGGTACAACAACTGTGCAAACACAGACCGCATCAGAGAGACTTTGAGAGACTGAAGAGAAAACAAGAAGAAGAAATGAATGAGCTGACGGTGACCCTTCATCCACCAAACAAAGAAAACATGGACGAAGAAATCAGCGAACTGAAGGCGAGACACGAGCAAGAAACATACCAGTGGATACAAGAACATGTGAAGAAAGCGGGAAGAAGGAACTGTCCCATTTTATGAGCTGTCGTGAGATGTGACCGCAGCAGCACAGGTTCAAACTGCAGAACTATGAGACGTATACTTATTCCTGTTTGTTTCCTGTTATATATGTTCAGGGTCTGAAATAAGCACCCGACAGATGTGCGTTAGTTGTTGGCAGTAAAATAGTCGGACAACCCAGAAAGACACGTTTAGTGAGGTTAGCGTATAATTGGATAGATCTACACATTCAGAATTAGCTCGCAAACTGCTGCGGGAAAGTAGCGCTATCAACAATACAGACCCACACTCGTTAGTGTGTCTACTCAACGTATTAATTAAGTCTAAAGGACGGCTCAGTGTGTGGCGGAGGGCTGCCTCTGGTCCTGAGAAGTTAAACCTTAAACCTGCATTCTCTCTAATTGCCAATCAGGAAAGTCTGATTGTATGGAAGTCTATGAGAAAATGACTCTACGGCGTCTCTACGTCACCCAAACATGGTCACGTCTGCTCGCTGGTTGTTAAAAACCAAGATGGCGACGGTTAAAAATGACAAACTCGAGGCTTCAAAGTCGCTGTCCACAAGTCAAACACAAAGCCGTCCGCTTCTTACATGCAGTCTTTGGTCGTGAGTTTGTGGTGAGTGGGAGAGGGAGGCGGTGGATGCACTCAGAGGAGAAATGAGCAGTTCAGTAGTCGAGTGGTGGTAAACGTACAGGGAAGCTGAAGTTCCCGTGTTTTGTTTCTCATCTGTAAAGTGAAGAGAGTGGCCATCACTATGGTTTCTGCTTCCGGTGTTCCGGAATAATCTCTGTATGAATTGAAATGTATTGCTAGTATATATTTGCACGGAGGTAATACACCATGCAGGTCATTTCTTTCTGTGTAAATATATCAAACATTGAATGACATCGTTCTTTACATAAAGTGAAACATCTCGCTAAAGGACCACGGTTGAAGATTAGCCGGCTGGCTAACACTGGCACATCTACAGTAATGTTGATTAATGTGTGTTGTACTTATGAATATATGAATGAAATGAAATGTTATTCCTTCATTTGGCGCATTGATTTCAAAAGAGGCAGATCAAGTTTAGAGTGGCAAACAAAAAACTAACGACTTTCCCGGTGGAGTCAGTGGAACAAAAAAGGAACTTTTAAGACTTTAATTTAAAGTTTGCGCTGTTAGAATCTCTCTTTTCTTTTGCTCAGTTGTGCTTGTTGTGATGGTGTCATGTCAATACTGTATTTGTCACCACATCTTATGAAACATGCTTTATTTACACATTTAGAATGTTTCTCTTCTGAAAAATCACCAAAAAACTCTTTTGTTTCTTGTAAACACTTCACTGATTATAAAATAATCATGTAACAATAAAATGTTTGAATCTTAACCTTTGTGTCTCACATTTTTCCTTATACAGCTAATGTAAGAAACGTATTCGCATACTTATATATTATATAATAAAAGCTCATCATGTAATAATTAACACACAATGTAAGATATAATGTAATAACAGTTTTGTACATAATGGTATAAGTTATTACATTATAAGATATTTATTACACTAAGATATTTATTACATTATAAGATATTTATTACATTATAAGTTAAGCAAACTTTGTTTTGAATAATGTACATATTGTGCATAATGTAATATTTATGTAAAGTACATGAACCTACATGAAGTGGAGTCATTGATTTGTCTGTTTGTTCTTGAGGACATGTTTATGATCATTTAATATTCTGGATGATTCTTAGAATGTTAAAATATATAACTTGAGTTTTTACATGATGTGCTGATTATTGCATTATAAGCTTTTTATATTTGAATATAACATTATGCACAGTTACTACATTATGTGCAGTTATTACTTTATGCATTGCTACATTATCTGCAACATATAGATTCTATTAAAGCATCAGCGGTGACTGACCTGTGTCAAACTCACTGAATGTCTCGAATGCAATGTGAGCGTTGAGAGGAGCGCAGCAGAGTGTTCATAAAGGAGGAGTGAACTCTCGCATAGAATAAAATATGTGTTATAACACAGGGGATATAGAACACCGTGTGAGACTTTACTTTAAGAGCTGTTGTGTGTTCTTGCTGGTTCTAAAGCCTGAAGACTTCACGACTCAGCACAATGTGAGACAGAAAACCTCAGTGTTCAATAATGTTTCATTTTACACAAACACAACAAGAAGCAACAAGCTCACCGAGCAGCAGCAGCTCTGTGTATATTATGGTTCAGTGTTCATGTCATTGAAAAACCTTGAAGCACAAATCTAAGAAATGATGATTATGTAAGAATCAACAACCTCTGACACACCTTCAACAACAACAACATTAATGTCGGATTCAGGAGCTGTTGCATTATATTGCATCAGAGTTATTTACATATAGATGGACATAATAACTGGTACAACATATCTGTTTTATGAAACAATCTGTTGGTTCGTTATATTCTGATGACGGATGTTGATGACCATCACAATTACAGGGCTGTGCCCACTTTGACTGCCCACTTATTGTGGCCCATAAATATCACAATAACATCATTATGTATCGCAAATCTGAAAAATAAAATATGCCAACCGTCAAATTCCTCTTTAACTTTGTTAATTGTGTTTGTGTGGATTGTTTACACAATATTGTGTGTGAAATATTATCAAAATATCAAAATATCAAAAACCCATCCGAAGCAAGAGCAGGATGAGGAAACAAAGGATCAGAAGCACGAGAGCAGCGTGACGGATCTAAAGCACGAGTCTGAATACAGAGCGCAGGATCAGGGGACGAGCATGAGGACAACATAGGACACCTGAAGCTACAACAGGACGAGCACGTGAAGAAGCAGGACGCACTGCAGTGGGACGTCATGTTTGTCTGTTTACTATTCTCATTACTAACTCAAAGATTTACCTTTTTCATCATCAGAAATGATTATGAATTGTTTGCAGAGCTGCACATTTATAAGTATGGGTTTAACAAACTTTGATTAATTGTGTGAAAGTGAAAGTTAACACTTCATTATCAGGTTTGTTGTTAGACAAACTACTTTTGCAATTATGATATAAATGAAGATAATTGAGAGAGTTGGACTTGTTCGTACCTGTACTGTACGACCATCATGTTCTGCTCCCCACAGTGTCGGGCACAGCGGATGTACCTCATCCAGCTGGACTTACTGGGGTCATTACCGTCTATAAAGTGCTGTAACGTCCCCTCTGCATCGTAGATCTGGAACACACAGAATACAGGGTCAGAGGTGAGAGCAGCATATGCAAGTGTAGTGCTCAACAGGAGCAATGCAGTCCTGTGAAGGCCTCTATGGCCGCTGTGTCTGTTAACAAACAGAGATACATATAGAATACGTACATCGTTATATTTCTGGGTACGTTTTCATCTGTGAAGGACAATAACATCAGATACAGGTGAGAAAAGCTGCAACTACCGCTATGATCCAGTTCATTATTAATGAATTCACCATATTATATTTAGATATATTGTGTGTCATTAACTGTCAAAATACGGTACAAAAATTACAATCACGATTTCCAAATGCAAAAGGTGACGTCTTCATAACTATGTCTGATTAACAGTCCAAAACCCAGAGAAGTTTCATTTACAACCAACTCTTCACATCTGAGCGTCTGGAGTTTAAAGACAGTGAAGCAACGAAGAAGAGTGCATCAGAGCGACACTACGTCAATACTAAACTATAGCAGTAACTATAATATCAATAAAATATTTCTGTTATTCTAATGTCAATTATACAATTGTTGTGTGTTTGGGAAACCCAACAAAACTCTCTGCCGGAGTGTTAAAAGAATAATTACACCTTCATTCAATCATTCAATCATTCAATCATTCCAATGAAGGTCTGAAGAGAAGTTGGGTTCAGTCAGAGACCTCCTGAGAAATATTCTCCAACTCAAGGTCTTTATTTTTATTAATTATATATTTATTCATCTATTTATTTTTGTGCACCATCTATTTTTTTATGGGCATTTATTTATCATATCTTAGTTTGTTTTGTTTTTTTGTATATTTAATGTCTGTTTCTGCGTTGCTTATTTAAGCTCATTCAGATAGCTGCAGTATGTTTTATTTTTTTCTGACTGTTTTCAAAAAAGGAAAATATATCAAATGTATGCTAAATATCCTGTAGATATATGGATAATAGATCTGCAGACTTGGGCTTGTGGTCACAACTGATATTCTTTTGTGATATTCACTTCAGGACGTTCAGTGTTTCATGGCAGCAGCTGTTACACTCTGAATCTGAAACGGACGAGTTGAGGAAAGAGAAGATCTACAGTTTCATGTCGTGGAGCTGAACATATACACGCTTCAGGTGAATATGATTTTGTTCCCGAGTATTTGTACCACAGATTAGTCTAAGTGTTTAACTGTAGAACTGTAGGCGGTACCGGAATATTTATGGTAAAGCCAAAGTCATGAATCTGTATATTTTTCAGAGATTCATCACATAATTCACGCGGCGATGTTTCCGTTTAAGGTTCGGGTCGCTGCACTCGCAGCTCAAACACAGAGAAATAACTCCGGTTGATTTGAAATGTTTTAGAAACAGATGAGGCTCTTCTCCTGCGTCAGGCTGAGGCTGTGGTTCTGACGGGCCTGCTGGTGTTAAACGTCACACAAACCTGATTTAGACCGGCTTAAGAGCCTCGCTGCTCCGCCTGTCAGCGGCTCAGACATGAAAACAACTTCTGAGGTCTGAAGATACTTTGAGGAGGAAACAAGATGCATGAACGTGAAACATAAACCAAAGCTTTCTGCTGCTTGTGTGGCATAAAGACGCAGCTATCGGTCCGAAAAACGGATCTCAACAAGCACAGGCCAGACATGACAGAAACACAAGTTGAATTTCTTTGATCATTTATTTTACAAAAATTGGAAAACAATGAATCTATATATTAAACATAGTTAGTGTTACTAATGTTGCAAACATGTTCTTTACGTGCTGTAGACACTGAACTATTTATATTGATGAATCAATCATGGATTCTTAGTTGAGCTGAGGAGCTCAGAGTTGAAGGTTTTTTACAGGATCTGGTTAAAGTAAAATGTATATTTTGGGCAATATTTTAAATGAGGCACGTAGAATAAATATTTTTAATGACATTTTACAACTTAAGCTTTGTTTTGGAGGCTTTTTCTGATGGAAGCGTTCGTCGATGACCATCGGAAAGATGAACATCTTACGATTATGAGTTCAGCAACTCGTGTCAATTTCTGCTCGTTACACGAATACAATATTCTAAAGATGAACTTCTGTCTTCACAAAAAACAACTCAGTTAAGTTTAGGCAACACAACAACTCAGTTAAGTTTAGGCAACAAAACAACTCAGTTGAGTTTAGGCAACAAAACAACTCAGTTGAGTTTAGACAACACAACAACTCAGTTGAGTTTAGACAACACAACAACTCAGTTGAGTTTAGGCAACAAAACAACTCAGTTAAGTTTAGGCAACAAAATAACTCAGTTAAGTTTGGACAACAAAACAACTCAGTTAAGTTT